CGCCACCACACTCAGCTAATTTTTTTGTATTTTTAGTAGAGACGGGGTTTCACCATGTTGGCCAGGATGGTCTCGATCTCTCGACCTCGTGATCCACCCGCCTCGGCCTCCCAAAGTGCTGGGATTACAGGCTTGAGCCACCGCGCCCGGCCCAGTTAATGTTTTCAAGTGGTTCTTTCCTGGGGTTGTTTTTTCACACACACGCACCTGTGAAATAAAAAAAAAGAAGAAACTTTTTATCTCAGGAATGTGAGCCCCTTTAAATTATCAGGCTCAGAGAGGTATTGGAATGAAACTGCAGTCATCACCTCCCCTTGAGCTAAATAATTCTCTCTTAAATTATTAACTCTCTTAAATCATTTATTCTCCGCTTGCTATACGGGCTCCAGACTGATGCCAACAGCCATAAATGCCATGTGCGGGACACCGTAACCCATACCTTACAGTTCACCAATGTGTAGCCAATAACTAATCAATGTTATCTCTGTAAACCAAGGAAAACTTCTCTCAAAGAACTTTGTATCCACCCACTCCTTCTTACCTTTGCCTTGAATAACTTGCTTCTAACAAAGGCTGACTGAGCACTCCTTGAGTTAACTTGGAAGTATGTCTTGCGCAGCTATGGCTCAAGTAAACCTTTTAAATTACCTGTTGTGCGTCGGCCTCTTCCTCCTAGCTCAACACACTGATTACTACTCTGCTGAATACTTGGTGGGGACCCTCAGCAGATCTCTCTATGTGCAGCTTTTTCCATTTCCATTTTTTTGATCTTTGAACTTTAGCCACTTTGATCTCTCCAGACTCTCAGCTCTGTCTCCTCCACTCCAGGACTCCACTGGGATCTGTCTGAGTTCCCCTCCCTGTGCCATAGCCTGGAGACCCTCTCAGTGCAGTGGGCAAGGCAATTACAGGAAGAAAAAAAAAATCATCTGTTTTCTTCCCGATCCTCAGGGATGACTGTCTTTTGTTGCCTGATGTCCACAGTTTCAAGAAAACATTTTCAGATATGTTATTCTTTTGTGTCGCTTAGTTTTGTTTCAGGCGAGTGGATAAATCCGGTCCCTGCTACTCCATCTTGGCTGGAAATCTGGTATGACATTAATAATATTCTAGTTGTTAATTTGGGTTGTGGTTCATAAATGTTCATTTTCTTATTTTGCACCATTCACCACATACACATATATAGTACACATTTTTTTTCATTCGTATGAAATATTAGTCAACTTTTTTAAGTTCTAAAAGAAAGTAAAGATTTTTTTTCTTCCCCTGGGGTGGAACAAGGACAAAGAAGTAGGAAGAGTCTGTGGCCAATCTCTTACCTCATAGACTTTTCTGACCCGTCTACCCCTTCTACCTAGAGCCCTCCGACTCAGCCAACGCCCCCGTCCTTGTCACCACGACTCTGAAAGTGCTTTGCTAACACCAAATGGTGGTGCATTAGGGCACGGGGAAGATGGTGAGCTTTCACGCTGTATGATCTAACAAGCCACTGCAGTCTCTCACACCGTACACTAAATGAGGGTCTCAGGAGAGCACTGCCGTGTCTGCACCTGACTCACGCTACCAGGCAGTTAAAACTTGGGGAAGGAGCTCATGTGAAGCGTTTTCTTTTTTATTTGTTTTTTCCCTGTGATAGACAGACTCAGAGTCTGTTAGGCCAGAAGCTGACATCCTGCATTCCTATTTAGAATGAATTTATTTCTTTATTCATTTATTTAGAGACGGAGTCTTGCTCTGTGGCCCAGGCTGGAGTGCAATGGCACAATCTCGGCTCACTGCAAATTCTATATAAAGTTTAAACTCTCTTAGCATTTGTTTGTTTACTCTGTCACCCAGGCTGGAGTGCAATGGCACAATCACTGCAGCCTCAACCTCCCAGACTCAAGCAATCCTCCTGTCACAGCCTCCCAAGTTAGCTGGGACCACAGGCATGAACTACCATGCCCGGCTAATTCTTTTTATTTTTAGTAGAGATGGGATTTCACTATGTTGCCCCAGTCAGTTTCAAATTCCTGGGCTCAAGCGATCCGTACACCTTGGCCTCCCAAAGTGTTGAGCTTGAGCTTTATAGGAATGAGCTACTGCACCCAGCCTATCTTACCTTTTAAAAAACATATCAAATAATTGTTCATAAATCATTTTCTGTAGTAGAGAAGACAGCAGTTTTTGTTAAAATTGGCAGATAAGAGTTTGCATCTACCCTTGAGAAAATTGCATTTGTAAAGTGATTTTTTTTTTTTTTTTTTTTTTTTTTTGAGACAGAGTTTCCCTCTTGTTACCCAGGCTGGAGTGCAATGGCGCATTCTCGGCTCACCGCAACCTCCGCCTCCTGGGTTCAAGCGATTCTCCTGCCTCAGCCTCCCAACTAGCTGGGATTACAGGTATGTGCCACCACGCCCAACTAATTTTTTGTATTTTTAGTAGAGACAGGGTTTCACCATGTTGGCCAGGATGGTCTCGATCTCTAGACCTCGTGATCCACCCGCCTCGGCCTCCCAAAGTGCTGGGATTACAGGCGTGAGCCACCTCACCTAGCCTGTAAAGTGATTAAAAAAAAAAAAATGAAGCCTATGAGTATGATGGCATTATAAAAGTATCAGTATAAAAAAAAAGAGAGAAAATAACAATATATGCATAAAAAAGATCAGTATATGGAAATACAAATGTCATATATGGATGTAAATTATCCTAATGGCTCTTGTAAGCATCATGATTTTTTTTTCCATCAAATTTTTTTAGGTTCCAGGGTTGACGTGTGGGATGTGCAGGTTTGTTACGTAGGTGAATGTGTGCCATAGTGATTTGCTGCACAGATCAACCCATCACCTGGGTATTAAGCCCAGCATTTATTGGCTCTTCTTCCTGATACTCTCCCTCCCCTCGCCCCACCCGACAGGCCGCAGAGTGCTGTTCCCCCACCATGTGTCCACGTTCTCATTGCTCAGCTCCGCTTATAAGTGAGAACAGAGCTAAAGACATACCCAAGACAAGAAAATAGAAAAAAATAATAGTACGTGAGAACAGAGCATGATTTTCATTGTCCATCAAATGCTAGAAAACTACTCTGCGCGCGTTGCTATGTTTCCTACATTTTTCTAGCTCTTCTTACGTGAATTTAAACCTCCATCAACAGCGACTTCCTCAACATTTGGAAACAACAGCTATTTATTAGAGAAAAAAAAGTAGTTTATCCTTCCAGGTTGTAGATCTTACATTCCCCTTACACAACAATCCTAATTCCCTCACTTATTTTTCAAAGAAGCAGCAGGAATCGTAAGGGATGGGGTGGGCACTGATTTACTCCCATGGTGAGTACATAAAGGAAATCAAACTGTCTGGTTTTGAATCCTGCTTCTACTTTCACAACCTTGGACAAATTACTGATCTCTTCTTGCACTAGATGTTTTATTTGTAAAATGCAGATACTATTGTCTACTCACAGATTATTGTGAGGCTTAAATAAGAAAATATGCATCAAGCGTATTTGTCTGGCATGTAATAAGCACTCTAAAATTTATTCAGTGATGAGGACAGTGATCACAATCTGATAGCATCTTATCCAAAGTAAAAAAATGTACATTTCCTTTGAGCAAGCACTACTGATTCTAGGAATGTGTTTGAAGGAAGCAGTCAGTCAAATGTTTAAAGGTAGGCACGGGACTATCAATGATAGTAAACAGCCTTTTTTACTGATCATACAGTAGAAAATTAAAAATAACCTACATGTTTATGTTCATGAACAGAAGTTGATGAAATAAATTGTGGTACATGCATATAGTTGAAAACTTTGGAGACAAAATAGTAAAATAATTACAAATTCAGGCTTTGAACATAAATTTCAACAAGCTGAGGCTTCTCTCATCTCTTCGGAACACCCTGATTCTTCCCAGCCTTTCTTCCTTGCTTTTCATTTGTGTCAGTCAGCTATTGTTTGTGTAACAATCTTAAACTCTCAGTGGCATGTAATGGTCAGTGTTTAGTTCTCACTCACAAGTATGCAGGGCAGGTGAGGCAGCTGCACGTCACGCTGCAATGTCCAGGGCAGTTCTGCCTCGTACTGTGGCTGGCTAGCTAAAACATGATCCTGTCTCAGCAATCGCAGGAGAACAAGAGGGTGAGAGATGATGTGTGAAGCTTCCTTCCTAAGTGCTAAGTTTGAAGTTAGCACCATGTCATTTCCATTCATATTTCACCGGCCAGTGAAAGTTGCCTGATGAGCCACAGTCAAGAGTCAGAGAGGTATATTTATGAGGCTGTGGAGAGAGTGTAGATTCAGGGAGAGGTGAGAAATGGGGCCAGAATGTCAATCTACAGCAAGATTTGTCATCAGTTTTCATTCTCTGCCGGTAAGATTGCCACCCAAATCTCTCTGCACTCCCACTTTCTGTTTAGCTCTCTCTCTCTTATCACCACAGCTAAAAGTCTTTTTATAGGGTTACAAGTCTGTCTCAGAAACCACCTCGGTTTAGTGGCACAGAGCTCCCCACTTGTACCCTGAAACTCTCTTCTTGAGGATATTCCTATCCATGTACATGAGTTATTTTTTTCCTCTACAGCATCCACATTAAACTTTTAATTTCCTTGGATTTAGCCAAAATAAACACTCCATAATTCATGACGTCTTTCAGGAAGAGAGTTTGTTTTCTTTTTTAACAAAAATGGGAGATTGATCCCGTCTGTGTTCCCCAGAGGAGCAGAGGGTGGTTTGTATTAGGGCGGTTCTCATAGATGAGTGACTTTTCCCATGGCCTCATAGAGGCTGATATAGAAAATTCTGGATTCGAATGATCATTTGGCGGCATGACCCAGGCATTGAACCAATTTTTAAAAGTGAGGTTTTGCCATATTCTAACCCTAAGAAACAGAAATGGTAGCAGGAAAAGATAATCAGAATAGAATGTCAATAAAACTTCAGCCTTTTCCCTGGATTCTGAGAGTTCATAACATAAAAGTCAGAGCTTCAAACTGGGAGAGACGGGCTAAGAGGTACGAGAATTGGGGAAAACATGTTTCATGAATTCAAGATGTATTTCTCAAAAAAGGAACATGATGAAAATGTTCAGAAGAGGCAATTTCCTTCCTCTTTTCTACTTTGGCTCCGGAGCCCCCAGCAGAACCTCTTCAATATCTGACATGTTACAGATTTCACTGCTCCCACCAGCTTGAAGATAACATGTGGCTCTTGACAGTTCTGCTCCTTTGGGGTAAGTTGGACTCAGAGCGATGGTTAGAAGGGTACCAGCTGTGGCTGTGGGGAGTCAAGAGTTTTGTCTTGCTGTGGTAACTTTGGGTAGAACTCGTGAGTGTGGAGACAACTGTGTCTGTGCTTCCATGGTTTATTAGAGCTTATTTTAGTCAAAAGGATGGGAAGGGAGGCACTGAGTAGCATTAAGTCTGGAAGAACCACAGGTAACGTTTCATTGATAACCATCTGTAGCTTGCTCGGTTCTGTTAGTACTTAATTTTGAGAAAGGGAACTAGAAACTCAAAAGACCTACGCTGATCCCTCAGAGTCTACATTAATTCTGTCTCCCAAATTCTCTCTTCTTCATCATTTTCCCTGGACCAACTGGTATCTTTATTCTCTGATCTCTTGCAGTTCCAGTTGACGGGCAAGTGGGTGAGTGATCTCCAGCTCTGCTTCTATGCCGTTTTCGTACTTCCAAAGGATGGGTCCTATTAACCTGAAGAAGAGCAGATAGGGAAAGCAGAGAAAGGAGAAAGATTTACAAATTATGTAAAATCTCCCATATTCAGAGTATGATTTTCTTAAGAACAGTGATTTTTAAGATCTCATTCAAAAGTTTTCTGAATGAGTTCTTTCTTCCAAATTAAATGCCTAAATGTTTATATAACAGCAGGAAAGGGCCAGAATTGCACAAACACTGATGTAGCCTGCTGGGTTTCCCAATGGGATGTTGGCAAACCAGTCTCCTTTACAAGAAAGATGAGTGGGGTTTTTTTCTCCTCAGAAAGAGCCAGGCAAGTACTGAAGGTTTCAAAGAGAGGAGTTTCAGCCGCCGTTTCCAGTGCAGAAGCTGCTGACCTGCGCTGTACTCTCAAGAGACAGTGTAGCTCAGAGGATAAGGAAAACAGCTTGTCCAAGTCTAAAACCCTGCTTCATTGCTCCCAGCGCAAAAACCTACATCAGTAATTTAATCCTCAGGAGCCCCCAATTCCCAACACCCAGATGAGGATTTAATCACAGGAGCAGAAGTCTCTGCAGCAGGAGTCGAACACTCTTAAAGGCTGGCTTTTGTAGGTTTCCACTCGCCTGTTTTTCAAATAAATCGAAATCTGTATTTTTCCCTTGTGCTATCCGCAAAAAGCCTTACCGGTTGCCCAGAGCCCTCCCTTTTACTCCACTTGATCTTTTTCTTTTTCTTCTTTTAATGTCCAAGTAGACCCCACAAAGGCCGGGATCACTTTGCAGCCTCCATGGGTCAGCGTGTTCCAAGAGGAAACCGTAACGTTACAGTGCGTGGGGCCCCGTGTGCCTGGGAACAGCGCCACACTGTGGTTTCTCAACGGTACAGCCACTCCGACCTCGACCCCCAGCTACAGCATCGCCTCTGCCAGCGACAGAGACAGTGGTGAATACAGGTGCCGGACAGGTCTCTCAGTGCTAAGTGACCCCGTGCAGCTGGAAGTCCGCAGAGGTAAGTATGACTTGGACCAGGAGGGCTGGAAACCACAAGGTCTTCCTCTGTGTTCTCTCCTTCCTGGACGCCAGATATGTGTGTGTCGATTTACTCTAGTGCAGGTCTCAGCTCTCCGTACCTACTAGGTGAAATTAAGTCAGTATACTCAAAACATCACAGCGGGGTCCTTAAACTGAGTACCGACAGTAATTCAGCTGGGCCAGCTCTAAGTGGGATGTCTAAAGTAAGACTTAGGCCCTGAGATTGTATTATCATTCCAAATGTATGCTTGCACATAGTAAATAATAATAATTCAAACAAATGGGCAATGAGGAACAATGAATTATCTGCCTCCCACCCCAGAACCCTAGGTCTGCAGTCACCTTCCGCAGAAAAACAACTGCTAATATATATATATATAAAATTATACATAATATATATATTATATATATGTAGTTTTAAAACTGTGGTTGGTAGGATACTTTCTATGTATTGTCCTACATCTTACTTTTGTCACTTAAAATATCTTGGAGGCCTATTTATATTAATAGAAATCTACTTTAGTGGCTAACGCCTGTAATTTCAGCACTTTGGGAGGCTGAGGCGGGTGGATCACGAGGTCAAGAGATCGAGACCATCCTGGTCAACATGGTGAAACCCCGTCTCTACTAAAAATACAAAAAATTAGCTGGGCATGGTGACACGTGCCTGTAATCCCAGCTACTCAGGAGACTGAGGCAGGAGAATTGCCTGAACCCAGGAGGCGGAGGTTGCGGTGAGCCGAGATCACGCCATTGCACTCCAGCCTGGGTAACAAGAGCGAAACTCCGTCTCAAAAAAAAAAAAAAAAAAAAAATAGAAATCTGCTTTAAAATGTCTGCTGCACAGCTGTACCAGAATTAATTTAACCATTCTGCCTATTAGCAAATGTGTAAGACCTTTCCATTCTTTTTATTTTATAAGCACTGCTGCAGTAAACATCTTTATACATACATTCTGGGGGCACATTTCATAATATATCAATAATATTCGGAACATGGAATTATTGTCATATTTTAATAAATAGAAGCAGAAAAACCCACCACCCACTTAAACCTGTAAGGAGTTTCTGGTTTGTCAAGAGATGGAGACTGCAATATTCTCAGGAAAAAAAAAAAATGCTTCATTCGCTATGCAAGACAAAATAACCAAATGTACATTTAGTTATTCAGAAGTCATGCGTTGAAACTTCTTTGCAAGTGAGAATGCAAAAGTTAATCCACACTGGAGGCAAAATGACCTTTATGCAGACACGGTTGCTATTTGAGGAAATGTGCTGAAACCGTCTGAATGTCTGAGGGGAGACGGTCCTCATGTGCCCCTTACATCTCCGTAAATAAACGCTTAGGATGGAGAGGTGAGGGAAGCCGACAGAGCTGCTTCTCTTCTTTTCTTTTCTTTTTTGAGTCAGAGTCTCACTCCACCGCCCAGGCTGGAATGCAGTGGCACGATCTTGGCTCACTGCGACCTCTGACGGAGCTGTTTCAACGAGACACTGTATAGTTCAAGCAGCAGTGTTTCATGGTTCAAGTGACAGCAAAATGACTGGGGCTGGGAAGAGGTCATTTTCTTTGCCTCTACACGGACTCTAGGACGACCAGCGTCAGTGACTTATTGAGACTCATATCTTTTTTACATTACGTTTTAATGTGAATTTTCATTGAAATATAACCTATGTTATATTTCACAAGCCGTAAGTGTACGCCTCAGTAAATTTTTGCAACGTAAACAGCATCCAGATCAAGAAATAGAACATTTCCGGCGCCCCAGAAGCTCCTTCTTGCCCGTGTCGAGTCCACCCCCTGACACTGACTTCCAGCACCGTAGGTTTTCAGCCTATTTTTGAACTTCATATAAAGGGCGACAGCACGGGACAGGATGTACTCTTTAGTGTCTGGTTTCTTTTTCTCAACATGATGATCGTGAACTGTATAAACTGAAGCTCATTTGTTCTTATTTATGTATATTTCACATTTTCCCGTTCTACTGAGGGACTTTTGGATTGTTTCTGGTTTTGACCTCTTATGGCTGTGGACCTTTTTTTTTTTCACATGTTTCAAATATTTCCTACCACTACTAGTATTTGACAGTTTCTGATGGAGGTATGTTACAATTTCCCACTCCTTTGGATATATAAATGCAAATTCAGAATTTCCCTAATGACTATGATATTGACCATTCACATGTTGGGTCTCCTCTTTTGTAAGGTCTTTTGACAATTTTTCTATTGTCTTTTTCTTATTGACTTACAAGAGTTACTTATATATTCTGGATATCTGCATATAAGTCCTTTTTCAAGTGTCTTAAATACATTCTCCATTCTGTGGCTTGTCTTTTCACTATCATATTAGAGTTTTGTTTGTTTGTTTTCAATGAACAACACTTCTTAATTTTACTACAGTACAATACACCAAAATTTGGGGTCGGTGCCGTCATGCCCTATTTTAAAATATTTTGCCACAGTCAGCCGTGGGAGATTCAATTGCAGCTCATTGACTCTTAGGCATTTCAATTTAATCTGTATATGCCGAGACCAAGAAAATGCAGCTGGTTGGTGGGCCTGAATCCTAATCACATGGCTGAAAACGGGTGTCCCGACCTACTCCAGGGGCACGAAGATGGGTGAATGATTGTTGAGTAGGAAATTAGTAACAACTGCTAAAAGCTGCATCTTGTGAGTTTTGATTTGTAATACTCCCATTACCACTTGAGGTTAAAAGTTTTTTAAATTTCCATTAGACACTTTTTATTCATGAATTATTTAGAAGTTTTTTGGAGGGTGTTTCTTTGTTATTGATTTCTAATGTTATGGCACTTTGGTTAGAGTTTGTGTTAAATATAGTATCAGTTCATTAGTATTTGTTGAAAAACGCTTTGTGGCCTAGTTCACACTTAATTTTTCTTACGTTGCATGTGTGTTTCGAAAGCATATGAATTTTCTTTCTAAAGTATAGCATCCCACTAAATCAAGTCTGTTAACTGTGTCATTCAAGTATTTCCTACAATTACTAGTGTTTGACGGTTTCTGATGGAGGTGTGTTACAATGTTACAATTTCCCACTCTTTTGGGTATGTAAACATGTCAGTGTTCAGGCAGTGCAATCTTCCAGCACCTTCTGGCTGTGGGTGGGAAGAAGGGAGGGAAGAGAATTAATTATATTTGGAAGCATTATGTCAGTATCCATGACTGTAAAATTCATGCTACATGTAGCAATAGAAACACCTGCCTTCCATTCTTACATAAGTTCTGGAGAGGGAAAAAGCATTATTTTCTCTTCTTCCCCTTGGTCTCCTAAGAACCCCATTTTTATTTAGCCAAATCAACTGCCTCTGGAGAAGTAGGTGAAGCATTTTTGGTTATGTGTAGAGGTGTATGTCCAAAGAAAGAACCCATTGACTTGGAGCTTGTTTTGCTAAAGATGTCATTAATATGTGAGTATTCCTGTCACTGTAGTAGGATGTTTGCATCTGATGTTTGCCCTTCTGTGTGTTTGTCTTAAGATGAGTGGTCCTATTAACAAATTTGTCAAGAGGTGGAGTGTATTTGTTTTCTATTGCTGTGAAACAATTTTAGCAGCTTGCAACAACATACATTTTTGATCTTCGTTTCCATGGGTCAGGACTGCCGTCACAGCTTGGCTGAGCGCCCTGCTGAGGGTCTTCCAAGGCTGCAGGCAGGGTGTTGACTTTGCTGTGTTTCTTTTGAAGCTCTTCCAGGCTCACAAGGTCACTGGCAGAATAGAGAGAGTCTTACACAATGTAGCAATCCCAAGAGTAACATCCCATCATCTTTGTCATATTCTGTTGGCTAGAAGCAAGTCCTAGGTTTTACCCACACTCAGTGGGATTGCAGAAGGGAGTGAGTCATTAGGATCATTTTAGAATTCTGCCTACCATGCTGTCTGAACTGTTTTTGTTTCAACCGACTTCTGAGATCTGGAAAGGGAAGATAAGAAAGGGCTGCGTGCACAGTTGCCAGTAAAGATTGCTTTTATTTCCACCAAAGCGAAAGATAATTTGAGGCACTGGATATAGGCCTGAGATTTAGCAGAGCTCTGAGGCTGGATGTTTCAAGGAGAAAAAACGGAAAGCCCCACAGCCAAACTCGGGCTTCTTCGTACCTCCTCCACTGTTTGCATACATTTTGAATTCACGTTTTTCAGACTGGCTGCTACTCCAGGTCTCCAGCAGAGTCGTCATGGAAGGAGAGCCTCTGGCATTGAGGTGTCATGCGTGGAAGAATAAGCAGGTGTACAATGTGTTTTACTATCAAAATGGCAAAGTCATCAAGTCTTTCAACCGGAACTCTGATCTCACCATTCCGAAAACCAACATAAATCACAATGGAATCTACCATTGCTCAGGCATGGGAAGGAATCGTTACACATCAGCAGGAGTGTCTGTCACTGTGAAAGGTATTGTATTGGAATAGTCGTAGAACTGACAGTCCCTCCCTCCAAGGGACCATCATAAATAATCTAAACTCCTCACTTTCATTTACAAGCGAAGAAGCTGAGCTCCAGAGAAGTCAACTGCCTAACTAAAGGCCACACCACGACCAGTGGCTGGGATGGAACCAAAACTGGGGTCTCTGGGTCCCAGTCCATTGCTCTTTCCAGGGTACTGCAGCCCCCATCAATAATCACAGCAGCTAATGCCAAAGCCAGGGCACAATGTAGATCCATTTCGTTCATCTTATTTTGGTTGTAAGGAATAGAGAGACTCACTCTAGGTAGCTAGGAGAGTTATAAGAAAATAACACCATGGAATCCCATGAAAGCGTCAGAGGACATTAGGAACCGGCTTATGCTGTCCGTCCGCCTCTCAGGGACAGCGCAGCCTCTGTGGTACCACTTCCTTCTAAGCATCTGCAAGCTAAGCAGCTTCCTCTGTCCAGGTGGCATATGGCCTTGTCTGACTTTCACGGCCTTTCCTTTTAATACAATCAATCACTAGCAACCTTTTTTCTTTCTGAGAAAAAAAAAAGTTCACTCCTGCGGGAAAGAAATTACTGTCCCATATTATCTTTTTTTTTTTTTTTTTTTTTTTGAGACAGAGTTTCGCTCTTGTTACCCAGGCTGGAGTGCAATGGCGTGATCTCGGCTCAACGCAACCTCCGCCTCCTGGGTTCAGGCAATTCTCCTGCCTCAGCCTCCTGAGTAGCTGGGATTACAGGCACGCGCCACCACGCCCAGCTAATTTTTTGTATTTTTAGTAGAGACGGGGTTTCACCATGTTGACCAGGATGGTCTCGATCTCTCGACCTCGTGATCCACCCGCCTCAGCCTCCCAAAGTGCTGGGATTACAGGCTTGAGCCACCGCGCCCGGCCCCATATTATCTTTTTAAGTCAGGAACGCAAGTGATGAGTCACTGAAATGACAAGCGTGTGAATCAGGCTTCACTCCTAGTTGACGACTGCCCAAAGGGCTACCCGATGACATGGCCACTCAGGGAAGGATGGACCACGTAAAGCAGGGTTCCCGACCCTTATCCATCCGTGGCCTGTTAGGAACAGGGCCGCCCAGCACAGGTGAGCTTCCTCTTGAGGCACCATTACCCTTGAGCTCCCCCACCTGTCAGATCAGTGGCGGCAATTAGATTCTGTTAAGAACATGAACACTATTGTGAACTGCACATGCCTGATGATCTGAAGCAGAGCAGTTTCCTTCCAGAACCATCCCCATCCCTCCTTCTGGCTGTGGAAAAATTGTCTTCCACAAAACCCATCCCTAGGACCAAAAAGGTTGGGGACCACTGGTACAGGGGTATTCTCAGTAGGACTGAGCAAGCTGGCAACCCTAATGATGTCTATTAAGACACCCCAAGAATGGCTCTCTGCCAGAAGTAAGAAAGGTTATGCCTTATGGATGCATTTCCCAGGGCCAGCTTTCCCAAGGGGGTAAAAGGCGTGTCTTGTGAAAAGGACCTGGATGCTAAACAGGCAACCCTGTCCCCCATCAACTTTCTCTTTAGAGCTATTTCCAGCTCCAGTGCTGAAGGCGTCTGTGACATCCCCGCTCCTGGAGGGGAATCTAGTCACCCTGAGCTGTGAAACAAACTTGCTCCGGCAGAGGCCGGGTTTGCAGCTCTCCTTCGCCTTCTACATGGGCAGCAAGACCCTGCAAGGCAGGAATACATCCTCTGAATACCAAATATTAGCTGCTAGAAGTGAAGACTCTGGGCTTTACTGGTGCGAGGCTGCCACAGAAGACGGAGACTTCCTTAAGCGCAGCCCTGAGCTGGAGCTTCAGGTGCGCGGTGAGTGAAAATGACGCGAAGCCACTGGCGAGGGAGAAGGGGCTCCCTTCTCTCCCATGGGACTGAGGTTTGTTCGAGGGGCTCCCTTCTCTCCCTTGGGACTGAGGTTTGTTCGAGGGGCTCCCTTCTCTCCCATGGGACTGAGGTTTGTTCGAGGGGCTCCCTTCTCTCCCATGGGACTGAGGTTTGTTCGAGGGGCTCCCTTCTCTCCCATGGGACTGAGGTTTGTTCGAGGGGCTCCCTTCTCTCCCTTGGGACTGAGGTTTGTTCGAGGGGCTCCCTTCTCTCCCATGGGACTGAGGTTTGTTCGAGGGGCTCCCTTCTCTCCCTTGGGACTGAGGTTTGTTCGAGGGTTTCATGGCCCAGACAGGAGGGGAAAGTCTTTTCGGGAAAAGCCCCCAGCAGGCCTCTCCATCCTCGATCAGAACATCGCTCTTCTCCCAAACTGTATTTCCTTTCGTTTCGTTTTCTTTTTGCTTTGCCTCTCCTTCCTCCATCTCCTTCCTTCATTTCCTCCTCTATCCTTTCTTCTCCTTCGTTATTTTCTTTTCCTCGCCCGCTGACACTCCCCCGCCCCCGCTTCCCTGCCTCCCTCCCCCTCACCAACAATCTCACCAACAATTTTTCCAGTTCCTCCTCTCTATTGTCACAGGTCTGGGGCTATAGGCATTCCAGTGGAGTCCTTGCTTCAAGGAGCTCACAAGGTAGATTTATAAGACAGTACTTTTGTAAACTGCAAATCACCACCTCCCCGAGTATCTGTCTAACGGCGGCAGAGGGATTGTCAGCTCCAGAATAAAGGCTCTTTGTGGCGGAAAAAGTCACTCCTCAACCTAAATCCATTTCAAGTATTAAATGGCACAGAGATAGCAGTTGTCTCTGAAACGACGGAGTAAGTCCACTGACGGCACTTGGCAATTAAGCTCTTCCAAGGAGCCTGTCCCCATCTATACACCATATAGCCAGTGAGAGCTACCACCAGTTCCTTCCTGCTCCCTGAGACGACCAGTGCCTCCTTGGACACAGGTACATCAGGTCTCAACCAACCTTCCCTTCCAAACATAACTCAGTCTCTAAATAGTGTCTCTTCTCTTTGTCTTTTTCTGTTTCAGGCCTCCAGTCACCAACTCCTGTCTGGTTTCATTTCCTTTTCTATGTGGTCGTGGGAATTATGTTTTTAGTGGACACTGTTCTCTGCGTGACAATATGGAAAGAACTGAAAAGAAAGAAAAAGTGGAATTTAGAAATCCCTTTGGATTCTGCTCATGAGAAGAAGGTAACTTCTGACCTGCAAAAACACAGACATTGAGAAAAAGACCTGAAGCGCCAGGAACAAGAGGAACAGCTGCAGAACAGGGTGCACCGGCAGGCGCCCCAGGAGGCCAAGCAGCAGCAGCTCAGTGGGTGGCCATCGGTCTGGACCGTCCCCTGCCCACTTCCTCCCCATGAGCACTGCGCACAAACGTCCAAAAGTTCAGCACCACCGGAACTGTAGGGCTCACGGCATATAACAATTAAAGGAAATAAATGAACTGACTTCAACTGGGGTACATCTGGAAATTTGGTCATCAGAGATGACTTGAAATGAGGCCTACTCTAAAGAAATCTTGAAAAACCAAGTCAAGTGTAGCCTGATTATCTTATTATATAGTTTGAAAAATAGTATTTTGTTTCTCAGAACAACGTAAAAAGGTGAGTGTGTGCATAGGCACAGGACATTAGGACAGAGAGAGAGACAGAATGAGCGAGGGAGACAGAGAGACACACACAGCCAGGAGTGGGCAGATTTCAGGTAGATAAGAGGGAATAGTATAGATGATAAGGAAATCTAACTTACAGGTGACTCCTAAGGGACTGCGATGCTGACAGAGCTCACGCCTCCGTGCTCAGGATAGCTGGTTCATGGCTTTCCTCTGACTTTACTAAAAGAGAATGCCTCCATACGTGTTCTAGGTATACAAGGGGGTAACTCATGATGACACCTCGGTGTGTTATTCTTGCCCCCTCCCTTGGGTCTTTCTCATAACCACCCTATTTCTAGAGACGCTAGAAATGCTGCCAGTCCCAGGCCCCTGCCCTGTAGGGAGGCAGAAAAAAAAAATTCTTTTTTAACAATTAGTCCCAATCTCCAAGCGTGGCACTGCAGGGAGAAACTTCAAGTGGGGAGAAGCGGCGACATCACAGAGTCCAGATCTTGCCTCCAGAGACTGGCTTTACCTTCCTGATTTTCTGGCGGATTACGAACTGGCTTCAGGATATGCTGCTCTCACACTTGGGCTGTAGTTTAGAGACAAAATATTTTCCTTCCACTCTATAACACAGCTGGGATAAAAACGGAAACATGTCAATGACTCTCCTGAAAGGTTAGGGGAAAAACAGGAGGAGAATGACACGCAGAGCAACTTGCTTCCAGATCGTTGGGTTTGATGGTCAATGCCGGGTGGGGCGTCGCGCTCCGAGCGTGTCCCGCGGCGGGCCGCTGGCGCCACCCTGTGGCCGCCTGTGCACACTGCAGCCTCGCCCGCCTCGGGGAGCCACCGCGGCCCGCCCCGGGGGACCCGGCTACCCCGAAAGCTGTCGGGCGCGCGCTTCTCCGCAGCTCCGCCCTCGCCAACACCCAGCGAGAAATCATCTGCATTCCTGCAGCCCGGAAGGGCGAAAAATGAGCTCTAGGAGTCGGCCGGCGGCAGGCGGGCGGCAGAGAGCGAGGGGTGGGCCGTTCGTGTCCCATTCGCCCGAGTACGAGGAGGAGCACCCGACTCAGGGGCGGCCCCCCAAAATCTCCACGTCATGGTGTCCTCGGGGCCGGCAGGCGTGAGAACCCGGCGGCAGGACGGAAGTTCCGTCGTCGGCGAGGGCCCGCGGCCTCCCCCGGCTGGCGGCCGAGTCCCTCCGACCCCGCCCTCGGGCCGGCGCGGCGCGGCGCCCCCTCGCGCCTGTCTGTGGCGGTTGCAGCCGCCGCCGGGGGTGGCCGCGGGGCGCGGGGCCGAGCCTCCCCGGACACGGGGACGGGGAGGTGACGGGAAGCCGGAGCGCGGCACCGGACTCCCAGCGGGCGCCCCAGCGCCTCGGCCCGCCGCGAGCGCCCCGGAAGCGGGCAGAGCGGGGAGCGCGCGAGGGCCCCGCCCCCCCCGCCGACTCGGAGGCATCGCGGCCGCGCGCGCAGCGTCAGGAGCAGGCGCGGGGCCGGCTCGGCGCGGTCGGGCAGCCGGCGGCTCGGAGGGCCCCGGGCTGCTCGGGGGCCGCCCCGCAGGGACTCGGGAACGGCCGAGCTTCACCCGCGAGCTCCACGGCCTGTCCTGTCACGGGTGAAAGATTTCAGGACTGACGAGGGGGCCCCCGGGGGGATCGGACGCAGCGGACCGGGAGGAGGGTGGGTCGGCCTTTTGGGGCGGGGTTGAGAGAACGTCTTTCTCCGCCCTGGGACCTACCCGGGCCGCACCGGTGTGGCTTCGCCTGTGCGGGTCTTGGGCCCATCCTTCGATCCTAGGACTTCCCGGAGTGGGCCGGTGGAGCAGAACAGGCGTTAGCTTGGGAGGGTCGTTCCCCGTCGTCCAGGCTCGGTATGGAGACCTCCGAATTCATTCTGGGACCACAGGGGCTTCTGTGAGGGTTCAGGCCCGTTTCAGAACACTCAGAGGTTCCTAGCCGGAGAAGCCATCCCCAAAGTGGACCAACCGGCTTGGGTAAAACAGGAATAGTTGGGTCCATTCTGGGTCTTTCCTGGCTAAATGCCTTCAGGTTTTAGGAATTTCCTCCTAGGAAGGCCAAGGATTGGCCAGACCTGCCCAGCGATTCCAGCCCTGAGAACCAGACAGAATGGAGGCATGGCTGACAGCTGGCTGGGAGGGGACTCACAGTCCTCACTGCCACCAAGCTTAGTTGGAGACAGAGCCTCTGGGCTGCAGCGAGACAACAGTAGGAGCAAGGAGACCGGTTAGGAATGTAGGCGAGAGGCGGTGGCAGCCTGGACTAACACGGTGGCAGCGGAGCTATTGAGAGTGGTCACATCTGGAAGATGTTTTGCAGAAGTGTCAACCAAGCTACTTCTTGATTTGATGTAGGGAATGTGAGAAATCCTAGCACTTTGGGAGGTGGATGCAGGTGGGTGCTTGAGCCAGGTGTTGGAGACCAGCCTGGGCAACATGGCAAAACCCTGTCTCTACAAAAAATACAAAAATTAGCCAGTGGCACGCGGCTGTAGTCCCACCTCCTCTGGAGGCTGAGGTAGGAGGATTGGTTGAGCCCAGGAGGCATAGGCTACAGTGAGCCAAGATCACACCACTGCACTTCAGCCCATGCAGCAGAGGGGAAACCCTGTCTCAAAAAAATACAAATAAAAAGGTGATTATGACCAGTCTCATAGCTATAATAGTATAAAACAGACCTTAATATACATCGGTATTAAGCTTGGCAGTGGAAAGTGGGATGTCACACACACGAAAAGCTAGTTATGTGAAAATCTGGTCTTGCATAAGGTCTTTTAGGTATAGACTTCCCTGTTACCGCACGTGGCCGGAAAATTGGAACAATACGATTGCTTGCTGTCCTTCTCCCTTTATTCTCCACTCTTGTTTTGTTTCTAAATGTGGAGTCAAAACTTCCAAAAAGTAAGGAGCTCATTTTTCTGCCTTCCCACTTCATCTCCCTGTCACTAAGCACATGCTACGCCTTACAACTTAGAGAAGATGAAAAAGAATAAATTGTGGAGAAGGAGCATGTGTCAAAGTCGAAACTTCCCAGACATGATATGGGAGTTAATGGAGAAAGAAATCTCTAAGGAAGACTAGAAATCATTGGTTTAGGGATTCTGGAGAAGTGCATGAAATTCCCCAAATGTGGTATTCTCTGAGAAGATCATTTAGTGTTGAGGAAGCAATGGCATGATATCCAGGGAAACAGCAGTCCTCTGGAGCCTGGCTGTGTGACTTCAAGGCCCGCTTCTTCTTGAAGGGGAGAAGTGGGCATTACATGGGTTTATAAGTACCATCTTTGTTTTAGAAAATAATCATTTTCGGGCCAGGCACAGTGGCTCACGTGTAATCCCAGCACTTTGGGAGGCTGAAGCGTCTCACGAGGTTAAGAGATCAAGAGCATCCTGGCCAACATGGTGAAACCGTGTCTCTACTAAAAATACAAAAATTAGCTGGGCGTGGTGGCACGCGCCTGTAGTCCCAGCTACTTGGGAGGCTGAGGCAGGAGAATCGCTTGAACCCGGGAGGCAGAGGTTGCAGTGAGCCGAGATCGCACCACTGCACTCCAGCCTCGTGTCAGAGAGAGACTCTGTCTCAAAAAACAAAAATTTTTTTTTCTACCTTGAATCCTAGTTTATTGTGACTACAGCTTGTAAAATTTCAGGATATGGCTGAATTAAAATCTTGGTCCTGCACTCAAATAGCTCTTTGAATTGCAATTTCTTATCCCAGTTATCTTATCCCAATTTCTTATCCTTTCATTCCACAGTGAAATCTATATACTGGCACATAATAATAGACTTTATTATTTTAATTTACCAAATATCTGTTTACCTTTCATGGATTATTTCATTTAGCCTTCATAATATCTGTTACTGTCATTGCCTCACATTCAATAGGGTGACTTTTAATACCATTCTATTATTTTGATCAATTTGTATCATATATTCTTTCCTCAGTGTTTGATAAAGTTGTGTGGGCTTGTGTTTTGAGATGGAGTCTCGCTGTATCACCCAGGCTGGAGTGCAGTGGCGCAATCTCAACTCACTGCATCCTCCACCTCCCAGCTTCAAGCGATTCTCCTGCCTCAGTCTCCCGAGTGGCTGGAATTACAGGCACACACCACCACGCCCGACTAATTTTTGTATTTTTAATAGAGACAGGGTTTTGCCATGTTGGCTAGACTGGTCTTGAACTCCTGACCTCAAGGGATCCACCCACCTCAGTCTCCCAAAGTGCTGGGATACAAGCGTGAGCTACTGCACCCAGCCTTTGTGCTACTTTTAAGGATATGTATATCTGATTTTTTTTGTTTTTCTTATAATTATTCTTTATTCAGGTATCTACTTTTCTGGGATCAACTTTAGTAATTTGTATGCAAAAGTCAACATTTTGTCTACATTTGCAAATATATATCACAAATATACATCATTTTAATATATCTAATATAACTTATGTGCTTTTTCAACATTACGCTTACAGAAGGATTAACTCTAATTTTCTTTTCAGAGAACAACCTTTGGTTCTGTAAATCCCATTTTGTTGGAATAGGAAGTATGATCTGTTTCATTGACTATGCTTTCATCTTAACTTATTGTTTCTAATTTCCACAAGTTTTTGTTGTGTTCCTTTATTGGCTTTTGAGTTAAAAACTTACTTCTCTGTCTGTTGCCCAGGCTGGAGTGCCGTGGCAAAATCTCAACTCACTGTAACTTCCGCCTTCCAGGCTCAATGATCCTCCTGCCTCAGCCTCCCCAGTGGCTGGAACTATAGGCATGCACCACCACATCCAGCTAATTTTTGTACCTGTTGGAGACACGGGGCCCTGCCATGTTGTCCAGGCTGGTCTCCAGCTCCTGAGGCAGTAATTGGGAGGCCAAGGCAATCTGCCCACCAATTATTTTCTCTTAAATGCATTTTAAGGCTAATGAATTTTCTCCTACTTCACATAGGTTTTAATATTATTTGCCATGAAACAGATTTCACAGTGGAATGACAGATAGTTGGGAGAAGAAATGGCAGTTCAAGGAGGTATTTAAATATAGGGCTAAGATTTTAATTCTAGCTTCTTGAGACCAAAGCTTGTGAAATCTCAGGGTATGGTTGAATTATAGTATTACTATTTCTAAAGAGTGTATAATTTTTATTCTGATATCCCCTTTAACCCATGTGCTTTTTCCTAAGAGTAAAAATTAAGGAGAGCATGTTTATTTTATTGTTTTATAATCGGTTAACTATGCCCTGGTCCCTATATAGTTTCAGCCTTCCATCACTTGTTGAGACTTAATTTGCCATGCCACTTATGGTCAATTTTTTGTCACTATTCCATGTGAATTTGAAAATAATGTAACTTTTTTATTTTGAATATAAAATAGCATAGGCATAATTACAGTTATGATTAATCTTATTAACTGTGTTCTTCGAATCATCCATAACCTCCGTAAGTTTCAGTCAACTGGATCTGTCAATTCCTAAGAAAGGTATATTAAACTCATCACCGTGATTGTTGACTTATAACATTGCTCAATAACATTGCTCAAGCAGTCCTCCTTCTTCTGCCTCCTAAGTAGCTGGGACTACAGGTGCCTGCAACCATGCCCAGCTAATATTTTTACTTTTTGTACAGACAGGGATCTTGCTTTGTTGCCAGGCTGATCTTGAACTCCTAAGTTCCAGTGATCCTCCTGCCTCAGCCTCCCAAAGTGCCA